CACTTTAGATCTGCCCTGACTTTGATGTCCTGCCATGGTGGGTGAGGGCCTGGTCTCTCACACCACCCCCTCACTTTTCCTCTAACTCCTCCAGCATCACAGCGGTCTCCAGAATGAGAAGGAATAAAAAATAGGAGTAGGGTGTCACCAAGTTGCTCCCTAAATGACGTTAGGCTTAAGGACAGAGACAGGCAGATACGAGAAGTAGAAGGTTCTGAAGTGGAATGCCACCCATCATTCATCCTGGGACCTTCCTGGTGCTGAGAAAGCCTCATGCGGCCACACTAGCTTCCCTTTGGGTAAGCAACTGTTTCACACGCTTTTTTATTTTTAGCAACTAGAAAAGGAGCTAGTGGAACGTCAACCTCAAGTAAACTCCTTACAAGAGATCTCGAACAGCCTTCTTATTAAGGGGCATGGAGAAGACTATATTGAGGCTGAAGAGAAGGTGCATGTTATTGAGAAGAAACTCAAACAGTTACTCGAGCAAGTGTCCCAAGACTTAATGTCCTTGCAGGGACACCAGGTGAGTCCACTTGTGGTGTTTAACTATAAAGATGTCACATTCGATGCAAACAGGAAAGCAGAGGGAGGCCGTGAGCAAGTGGAGTGGTCTGAGTGGAGCCTCGAGTCGTGCCCCCTCTGGCTGCGTGGCCTCAAAAAGTCACATAAGCTCTTTGAAGCTGTCTGTCCTTTGTAGAAGGGCGATAACAAGAGTACCTATTAGCATGGCTGGGCTATGAAAAACAAGTCTGATCCCTCTAGCATTTCTCCCTTGCCTTCATGCCCAACAGACTCCAGCCTTCACTCTCCTCACGTGACAGTTTCAAGTCCTTTTCATTGTCCTGGTCACTGTCTTCTGACCATCCTCTCATCTGTCTACTTTTTTCTCTTTAAAATGTGATCCAACTCAGAACAAAGGGAATACTCAAACCGTGGCCTCACCAGACTTCGGGCAGGCCTGTCCCCTCCATTCTAGAGTATGTAGTTCCTCCTGTGCAGCCAAGACTATAGTGTCTTGATGGCCACGTGATCACGTCGACACTTGCTGTGAGCTCACTGTCAACTGAAACTGTCTCTCTTTCTTGCTGCTGCTAAACTCATCTCGCCCAGTGTGTGCTCTGGGTTTCCATGCAAATGGTTGGCCTTGTGGTGTTTACATTCCCTTTTGTCTGAAAAAAGTCCCTGTTAAAGTGGGTGGAGGGTGGGAGTGGTGAGAGCAGAGGAAGAGCCCCCTCTTCAGGAAAGATTTGAGCTGGGGGGCAGTGGTGAGCAGTGCAAAGGAGAGTCTGCGGGAAGCACATTTTGGGGCCTTGAGACTGTTTAGAAGCTTCTGTTTCCCTGAACTGAACACTTGGCATGTGGATTCCAGAACCCAGACTCGTCTCTGCCTGGCTTGGACGAGGCAGACTCTGGAGACCAGCCTCCAGCAGCGTCCGTGCCAGCTCTCCAAGCAAAGGTGAGAGCCCCTTTCTCCTGTGAGAACCACACTGGTTATTTTTAAGTTACTGAGATGACAGGAACTTGGGACTCCGAGGCCTCACTCAACATTTCACGATAGCACAGATCTGCTTCAGCCTCTGCTGGGCAGAAGGGAGCTTTACTCCAAAATTAAAAAAAAATTGCAGTACCCTTTTTAAAGACCTAACTCAAAAGCTGTCTTCTAGTCCCTGCTCTTCACTGGGATTCTAGTAGGTTGTGAAAGCTGAGAGCCCTTCTAGCGGTGTTGAAGGGGCTTCCTGATCTCTCCATTAACAACAGGTCAACAAACTGGAACACGAAAATCTCGATCATTTAACAAACCCAATCATTTCTCCTCCTAGAGTGTAATCGCAAATGTATTACCCTAGGCTCAAAAGCTGGTCAGGAAGCTGACCTAAGGAAGGTGTGTGATTTAAGAATGAAGGATGTTTTATCAGGGACAGGACTAAACTATCTTCAGCTCATTAACTGGATTATTTTTATCCAGCAGTTCGGAGCAGAGAGAACTACAAAAGTCAAGAACAAGACAGACAGCAGGTAACGGGGCTCTGCAGTCACAGCAATGAGTCGTTGTCCCGTCCTGTTCGTGTCTGTAGCGCCCCCCTCCCCCCGCCCCCCCCTCCCCAGTTCCACACTCCCACCACACCAGTCTTGCCAATGCCGCCATCAAGGTCTTTGTAGAAACCTGATTTTCTCATTTTCTTTCATCTGGAAAGGGCTGGGCTTCTCTTACAAAACGGAACCCCAGCGGTTAGCCCCATTTTAATCTCAGGTCCTGGATGTCTTACGTAAGCAGGGGGTCGGGTAACATGAGCGGGTTTTGCTCCTGGAACCTCCTGATCAGCTCTCCACCGCCTCTCTTGACAGGGTGCCCCGTGGCTCGCGGCCTCAGCGCTCCTTCCTCTGCCGCGTGCTCAGGGCGGCGCTGCCCCTGCAGCTGCTGCTCCTGCTTCTCCTGCTCCTGGCCTGCCTGCTGCCCTCCTCCGAGGAGGACTACAGCTGCACACAGGCCAACAACTTTGCGAGGTCCTTCTACCCCATGCTGAGGTACACCAACGGGCCACCCCCCACCTAGAGGGCTCAGCCGGCCTGCAGCGCCCCACCACCAGCCTGTTTACTCAGGCGCCCAACTCACGGCCGCAGACCAGCCTGTGAGTGACTCTGAGCGTTGGCACAGTCCAGGGACCTGCTGTGGACACCTCCTTCTGGACTTGGCCAGAGAGGGCTCTCTCGGGACCCAGGGCAGGGAACCTGGGCAGCAGCTGCCCTGGGCAGTTTGGCAATGCTAATTGATTGGTTTCAGGATCTCTGGAAACTGCAATTTCCTGAAGAGCCAAGCACTTTGTGAATTCTGATTTATTTGTAAAACAACATTTTTAAACTGTAGCTAATATGGTCAATGAACAGTAGTGTTCACCACATAATATATATTCTAGAAATAAGCAAGCAGATTCCGCCTTAGCAATGGTTCAGAAATTCCCATGCACCCTTGGCTGATTGATTGGAACAATCATATTTAAAATGTTCAGAGTTAATTTTACTCCAGTCAGCTAGCCATCTTGAGCTACAAGTTATAAACCAAAACTTTCTGTTCAGTACTTAGGTCTGCTCTTTTATATTGCTTTAAATTTTTAAAGAAATTATATTGCATGGATGTGGTTATTTGTGCATATTTTTTAACAATGCTGAATCTGTATGAATAATGTAAACATTGATTTTTTTTAAAAATCAGATTTTAGCTTGAGCTTTTGACTAATGTACAGTAAATGCCAAACTACAGACTTTGTAGGGACCTTTTTGTAAGTTAATTTTATAAGACTTTTCACATTTAAAGTGATGCTTCGGGTTTTGTTTAACTGCTGGGCCATGGGGGGTTGGTACAGAAACTTGAAGCTGTTTGTGGTATGTACAACTTAGATGTTTCTCATTAAAACAAAACAAAAAAATAGCCATACTTTTGTTGTTCTGGATTATATTACAAAGCAGTCAAATGGTATTTGTAATTTGCCATAGAACAAAAATTATTTTTAAAGTATCATGCGGGGGGGGCGGTTCTTGGTTTTAATTCTAAGCTATGCTTTATATTCTGCTTATTTAACTTTGTACACAGTCACTTACGAGATCTAGAAATCTACAGCCTGTACATGTGGAAACTGCCCAGCGTGTGACCTTCCAGTGCTGTAAGGAGCAATGTGGGCAGCATGGCATGGAAGCTGGACACAAGGGAAAGGATCATTTCACCCAGATTTTTCTATTCCCAGCTCTCTCCAGAGCGAATTAACAGATAATGTGTAACAAATGTTACAGGCAAAGCCACCTGCTTTCCACACAATTCCCACTGTCTGTGTCCCACCTAAACAGAGAGGGTGATTAGATGCTACTGAACTAGTCCCTTGGTCAACTGCTCCTGACCCGCATCTCTTGACACTTGGGAGACACCACTGACTTCACAGCAATCTCAGTCCCCTCTCTCCTTCTATGCAAAGCACAAACCTTGGGGGAAGCCAAGGACATTGTCTCCACACTGTTGGAGGTGATGTGGAGAGAAAGGTACTTTTTACCACAAAGCTTCAAAGTGTTTTAACTCTTTAAAATAATTCATCTTTTTTCATGGATTACAATAATCCCAGAGGGAAATTTAAGCGAAAATGGTATCCAGACTTTTTGTTTAAGCCACAGAGTTGGTTAGAAGGGTGTCTGCTCCAGTTTCACAAAAGGCAAAGGTAGGTTCTCTCCCTTCCAGTCCAAAGGAGTAACGTCCTAGAGACCATTTCTGCCCTTAAGAGGGACTCAGGGACAAGTCAGAGTTGTGGTGAAGGGAAAGTGTTGATTGCATTTTAAAGCGTAATTATGAATGTCAATCCTCAGGATAAAGGCCCTTGAGTCTTGAGTGTGTACTCTAGGCTTCTCCCCCCTTCCCTTGCCCCCAGGAGTCCTTCTGTCACTCACAGCTCAGGGTATTCCCAAATGCATGTTATGAGATAGTGTTTTACACCTTCAGGAGGTTTTGCATCTTTCATTCCCCTTGTGCAAGGGAAATTTTCAAATGACTCTTGGCATTAAGATAGCTTAGGTATGAATGAATGACTTCTCTCCCCATCCCTAGAAGGGTATAATACTATTTGACTCAGATGGGGTACTTACAGAAAATCTACCCAAATAATTGATGCACTGATACCAGGACTTGTATATTGGTGGATTGCATTGTCCTTGAGCACACAGTGCCTGTGGTCATAAACCACAAGTGTGAGATTAGCTGACTCTAGATTAAATTGCTGCTAATGTTTAGAGTCTTCCACAACTTTAAGTCAGAGATTTTTAACTCTCTGGAAATTGTATGCAAGCATTTGCATTTATGTACCTTTTTCCAGGAAGATTGTCCATGGTTTTCATCAAATTCTTAAAGGCAAACCTAAAATATAATAGAATTCAGAATAGAAGGGGAACACTGACTACTTAGCCTGATTACTGAAAGTTCTTTTACTCAACTCCCAACAAATTCATTTTTAACACCAAAATTACAAAAACACTTTATTTAGCTTATGTCACATTAAACTTCTTTTTGCAACAGTTCCACAGACATTAAAAGACACGGCAAAGGAAAAGTAGTACCTGGAGGAATGGAAAGCAGATCTCACAATTTGCTTTCCCACAACAGCAAACATTCATTTGTAAAAAGGCCCAAATTTAAAAGTCTGCTTAATGGTACAAGGCATTCATCTAAAAAAATGACACGATAGCCAGCCAGCAGGCACTGAGGTACACCAGACCACTGAAGTTCTCTGACCAACAGTCACAGCATTTAGACACCCAACACAGAAAAGCAAATGCAGCAGCATAGCTTATGCAATCAACGGGAGCTGGTCTGGGCTGGTATCGTCAAACCTCTGCCCTTCCTGTAAAGGAAACCCACCATCACGTAACAGTGACCAGCCCCACAAGTGAAGAGGACCCTTGGAATTCAAAAAAAAAGGATCCTTGACTCCAAAGCAACAAAAAGAGTTATAAGAGGATCGTACATGGCCGAGACAGGGCACGTCTTAGAGCTGCCCACTGGAGCCAAGGTTCCAGCAACTCTGAGAGCTGTACAGAATAAATGGCACGTGTTTCACACTACAGTATACCAGAGTCCACAGGGAAGCATCAGTGCCTAAAAGGTGTGAGCATTTTACACTGGTAAATTTCCAAGGAGCGTACTGCACGGCACTGCCTCTGGGGAAGCAACAGTAGTAAGGAGGTGACAGCAATACTACCCACCAGCTATGAGCCCAGGACGGGAAGGCAGGAATAAAATAATTCATCCTATTTTTTCCATCTGTCATTGCCGCTGTTCTGTGAAGGTTCATGCAGATGCCATCTAAGCTGAGAAGGAAGGAGCTACAGGTAGCGTAGGGCGACCATAACCATCTCCGTCACGCAGAGATTCGGCTCCAGCAGCAGACTGACAGAAGCAAGGCCTGCGGCAGGAACAGTGCTGGCTACGTAGGCAGAAGACTTGAATTCTGGTCCAAGCTTTGCCGTAAGTAGTTTTATGACCTTGAGTGGTCAGTTTGCCCCTCTGGGCTTTATTGTACACATGTTAAAAGATGGGACTAAACTTCTCTGTCTACAGGGGTGTTCTGGAACTTGAGAGGGTGAGAGTGCCACAGCGGGCCCCGGCTAGACCACAGCAGCCATACGTGTCAGATTACATTTGATGAATGGATTCTGTGGTCTAAAAAATATTCTTTTGTTTTTTTTTAACTAAACTGCATGATTGCCTCTAGCCCTGGACTTGGACTACCAGTGTCTGTCACTTACTCCCTGAGAAAGCTGGGACGAGTTGCTTATTCTGATTTCCACAGCCAGAAAAACAGGCTGACAGTAATTATTATGAGGATTACATGTGAATATATGAGGCACTGAGAACCATGGCTGGCATGTAGTAAGTGTTCCACAATATTATTTTTAGGTACTAAACAATGTATTTTTATCATTTCCTTCACATAACCTTTATTGGTTTTTTTAAGATTTTTAGCAGCTTAAAGAAATGTGTCAAATCTTATTAAATAAAAATGTTTTATTTCAAAATAGACCTAGAAACTGAAGGTTCACCTTGAATTTGAAAAGGTATCAATATATGCAAGCCCCTTAGCAGATTTAAATAACAATCAAACTCTCTGTTTTCACATGCTAGAAAATTCTAGAATTGCTTCAACTTAGTTTATATATATATGAATATACAACGTAGCTCTGCCAAGAATTGGTAACTGATTATTTTTTTTTCCTGAAATCTAAAATAATTGCCCTTCCAGCTGAGTTAGCAGGCGGAGTAGCCAGATAAAAACGCTCACTGTGGAGCTTTTGTTGATTTTGCCTTGTTTTTCTTTCATTACAGTTAAGACCCTCCAGGTTTGTTATTAGGCTGAGAACTTAATCTTCTGTTTCCACCTCAATTTTTCCAGAAAAATCCAGAATTATTTTAGGGTTGAATCTTCTGTAGTTAGTCCTGGTGGACAGTGGGCATGTGACAGACCTGAGGCCAGACGGGGGGCACGTGAGGGCAGCGGGAGTTAGAACGACGTGTGGAAACGCCCTGTGCTGCCTCCCCCACGTCGCCCTCACAGGTCCTTCTAGGAACTGACAGTTGTCTCCCAAGAACCTGAGGGAACACTCTGTTCTCGTGTTCTCTGTATTAAGAATATTCCATGTTAATTTTTTAATTAAAATTTGTCTATATGACCCCATATTAGACACTCACGTGTTTGGAATTAAGCCCAAATCTCACTCCTCTCCCACAAACAGATTTCTCTTATCAAATGATCACTTACAAATCAAAATGTAGGAAAGGAGGCTGAGGCAAAGCTGAGGATCGCGTTCCATAATACATGCAATGCAGTTGGGTAGGTTTTTCTTTTTTCAATACTCAGTTTAATTTCTGTTTAGAGTTGTCAGGTCCTATTCCCCCTAGTTAATTCCTTTTCAAAACTGAACTTGAAAACACTGAAATCTTGCCTAGCTACAGGAGAATTTAAAGTTGCCCATGGACCACTTTGGGGGGTGGATACCCTCCCAAAAGAAGACATTTAAAAGAAAGCACTATTAAAGAGAAACGGCTAATCTTTAAAATGGACATTGAGGGTTTAAGGAAAACACATAAAAATGGCAGCCTGACTTTGCACACTGGTGTCATCCTTGGAGGACATGGTTGGAGCAGGGGGGCAGAGAGATTCAAAACACTTCACCTGAAAGGGGGAAAGTACCTAAGAATATTCAAAACAAGAGAAGACCTTTAAACTATAAACCATGTTGTCTCAACTACTCCTTGGCCCAGACCCCAGTCTAAGAAACAGCCCTGCACCAAAGAGGCCTCTGGGGTTGACCTAATTAACCTGCATCCCCAAGCACACAGGCAGGTGAGACCTGAGCCAGGAAGAAATTACCAAAAGGGTAGCATCCTCCTCATGGGCTAAATTCACAAGCAGTAACACAAGCAGCCTCAAGAAGCAGGCAGGAAAATCTGTGAAAAAGGAGTAATGGGCACTAGTGCTTTCATAAGAGCACACACAGGATTTGGCACAAAAGGGTGCCTGGACGCCTGCATCCAATCTGGTGCCTACTTTGGGCATCAAAATCCAAAATCGAGTTTAGTGAACCTAAACTTCACTCTACTACATACTAATGTGGCAGTGGCTTGGACCTCATTCTGGGTTTTTTTGTTCTTTGTTTTTTTATTTTTGTTTTTTCTCAACCTAGTATTCTTCTTAATAAATACAATTAATAGAATTTCATCAGCAAATAATTGTTGAAGGCTGCCTTCTCTGCCTCCCACTTCCCACTCTCTAGCCTCGCATTCCTTCTGTTTGTCGTGGGGGATTCTAAGCTGGCCCGAAAGAAAGAAAATTGACCTTCTGGATAACACGGTTCCCCGATGCCTATAAAATCAAGCTCATGTTTTCTGTACTGAATCTCACCAAGGCTGAAACACTGAGTCACTAAGAATAATTTCAAACCACCTCAGAACACAGACAATGGTGTGTTCTCTAGGTTTACGTCCAAGTGTTTCTGAAACAGCTTTGTTCAACTTTTAGTAACACTGCACCAATATCAAAATTAAGAATTATACAAGGTCTCACTAGCAGAAACCAAGCTTTATCTCATTGAATGTAATCTTCCTAATGACTTAGTAGATACAGAATGCGCTAACCAAAGTAAACCTATTTTCAAACAGAAAATGTGTTTTAATCGCCTATTACAAGGTAATTTTTTAAAACATGATCAAAAAAATGGAACATGCTTATTTAGTTGCTCATTTCCCAAAGATAGATGTAACTCATCTTATGCATTCACTATGTTCCTGAAAATTTGTACAAAAATTTCAATTTTTAAAAGGTTAAAATTGTAATTTCAGAGGTGCTTTATCATCATGTCCTATTTATGTTCCATCTGGAATAAGAATCTCCTACTAAGTTTCTATCTCACCCAACCCACCACATAAATATTCTGATAAGAAAATATTTTAAAAGACCTCTAGGGTATAAAGAATTCTTTCTTACTATAAATAATTACCCTCAATATTTCTCTTTTTTAAGTAGAATTCACAAACCAGGTCTTGTTCGAGTGATGTGCTCATCAAATCTACACAGTTTAGCCCTGAACCTGACCCGCTGGCACGTGTATAGCCCTTCACCCTTCCAGGGAACAGTGTGCCTTGCACACACACAGCCTGAAGTGTCCCTGTCTCCTCTGGATGGCTGATGTGGCAGTTGTGGCTGCCCCAGGGAAGTGTTGTGGCTGTGACCTCCGTCCCACAGGAAACAGCCCCATTCCCATAAACACTGGACATTTCTCAAGCACGCGCCAGGCCCCTTGGGACAACAGAGTTCTAAGGTGGGGGGGGGCGGGCAGGAGAGTTAAATCACACTCCTCCATGACCGTGATCATACACGCCACCCCCTGCCCCCCAAATAATTCGCAGGCTCTGTGGATGCAAATCGAGTGATGGATCTGTGTGAAGATGGCAGCAAGGTCTTGGGGGAAGAACATGGCTTGCACCCTAGCTTGACCACTGGCTCCCTAGATCACATTCCCTCTGGCCTTCAACAGAGTAATAGCAATACGTGACTTCAGTCCTCACAGGCCCTCGAGGTAGGTATGTGAAACTAGTTAATTGATTGTCATCACAGTTTGCAATCCTACAATCGAGTGGTCCAGAAGAGAGCATACAAAGTTCCAATCTAAGGACAGCTCGGGTTGCACACCAAAGGTTAGCCCACTTCCTGTCAGGGTACCACATTCTCTCCCCTTCCTATTTTATAGCCCTTCCAAGTCAGATTTCCACCACTCATTCCACAACCTTTAAGATGTCTTCCAAAGGGATGGAAGGGAGATGGAAAGTAAGAATGGGACCACGTTGAGATCCCATAAGGCTGAGCAAGATGTAAACTCTGCATTCAAATGTACCCCCTGATAACAAGCAAAACTGTGGTTTTCTCACCCTGATGCCCGGGAAGTGGGGAGGTTGGGGAAAGGATGGTACAAGACAAGCTTGCCATGAGCAAATGAGGGACCACACAGTAGAAAGACGATGAAGCCCGCCCACTCCCGATGGGGCTCACGATTTGTGCTGGAGTTCATGCTTCAGCCTCTGACCTCTGCGGCCTGTCCTCTCAGAGCTGGGCTTCACTGGGACTGCGGGTTCTGGGAGCCGTCTTTGCTCTCACTCTCCTCTGCTAGGCTGCACTCCAATCCTCTGACTGAGGACTTGAACCCGTGAAGCGTGTGGGCATTCAGCATCTCCAGCAGCAGGTCGTAGACTGGGACCACATTTTTGCACTTCATGTTGAGCAGGTGTTCCATGCCCTTGTTACTATGGGGACAGAAAGGTGCTGAGATTCCTCCTGTGAGGCCGCCATAGGAACTCTGAAATCTCCCCAACTTTCCCCATCAGAGGAGTCCGTCCCCTCCCCAGCACGTCCCCCAGCCCTTCGTCCTATGGTTCTTGCATCTGGCTCCTTCCACATCTGCACTTAAGGACAAGGACAGTGTCCTGTGGACCTTAGTGTCCCACTGCCCACCCACAATGACCTGATAGCGCCTGGCTCTCTGCAGTGGATTCTCATTGTTCACAGTAGCTATGTTCTACACAGTCACCAGAAACCCTGAATTAGTGGATACCGACCCACCGCTCCTGGGGGAAAGAGGGTTAGGTTCTGGAAAGCCTCTGGTCTCGACATTTTCCTCAGCTGATTAACACATAACGTTGTTTTATCTGTGCTTTTGTGTAAAGACACTTTATTTAACATAAATTGTTGATTCATTCACATTGGACTCAGGGCCTACAGCACTACCGTTCATGCCTGAACAAGCTTCTTTAACACGCATCTTTTCCCCACAGGCACCTCGCAGCCTTCCTGCGTGGAGGAGCACTGGACAGCGCTCCAGCACTGTGCCTGGGGACCGTTTTCAGACAGTGAAATTTCCAACAAAACAAAAATGCAAAAACATGGCACTTCAGAGACCACGTAAAGGACATCTGTTTACAGTAAGAGCTGAAACAAGAGGGCGAGTGTCACCTTGTTTGACCCCAGCTGGGAATGTAAGCGTGGGCGACTCAAATATTTTAGCACTCTGTGCACATCCTCAAATGACCGCAAAAAAGCCATGAGTATTGGTTTTTAGTTACAAATAAATTTTAGCAAATAGGTAAATTTGCAAATATGGACCCTGCGAATAATAAGGATTGACTGTGTCTGTTCTGCAAATGGTTGTGTGAATAATCATTGAAGAGGAAACGGAGGCAGAGGTCGTTTTCATTTCCTCCCCTTGTTAAAATCCTTCGGGTGTATGTTGTCCTTCCGCACAGCCCCAAGACTGTCCTCCTCCTCAAGTGAGCAATTACCTTCCATCCATGGCTTCCTTCTTCCAGCCCCAGGGCAGGGCTCCCCTCATCCTGGGTGCCACCAAGCACTGAGCAGCATTGTGGACACGTCCCCCTTCATCAGCACATCCATTTACACTTCCTGAGTACACTCCCCACAGCCCTGCCCTCCTAAACCTGTTGGGCTCACCCATTCCCTTAGGTCTCATTCATTCTTAATATCCTGATGCTATTGCAAGAAAAGAATAACTTTTGGGGAAAGCTGTGTGTAGTTCCCCAAATCACCAGCCTCACAAGTTGATCTAGAGAGGGTGGGTTTAGCCTCTTCAAGGAAATGACCTCAGGGCCCCAGCTGAAGGTGGTGCAAGGAGGGGTGGCAGTTCACTTTAGGGGAGAAATTGCCCATTTTACAATTCCATAAACAAGCTAAAATCTGCAGCAACTAGAAAACAGATAAGGGATGCCATCAATATCCAATAAGGTGCCACGTGACATCCATTTGGTGCCCCCATGTGCCCATCTTGGTTACAGGTGTGTGCACTGATGAAGCCCCCCATTCTCTTTCAGAGGTTCATTTTTCTCTAAAGGTGACAATTCGACCTTATCTGTCTCAAACTTGCAAGCCTTTTCCCCAAAGCTCTTCACCCTCGTCTGAGCATGTCCCCCACCCCACACACACACACACACTGGGTGGTGCGGCCCCGCAGGAATGGTACCTGGCGTGCCTGACGTGAGAAAGGAGCATCAGGAGGTTGGCCAGGCGCATGGACTGCTGCTGGGGGGGGATGCCGCTCCTGGAGATCACCCAGACCAGAGCGTCGGTCACAGCATTCAGGATGTGAGTCAGCTTCCGGCTGCTCTCGGCCTCCTGAGGGGCTGCAGCTACAGGGTACATACCTGGACAAAGAAGAGAAGCCACGAGTCTACATGTGTGGGACAATCTTAAAAGCAGGGCTTCACCTGCCCATGGTGTCCTTCCCAACCCCACCCCTCCCAAGAGCCAGCCCCATCGCTGAGCTGGAAGAGAAAGCGTAGCTGAATGTGGGCAGACTAAATGGCCTCTCAAAGTGCCACCTGGCCCAGAACTGTGGGCTTGCCATAGCAGTAAATGTATCTAGTTGCCTGAAATGATTACATGATGTCTCAGCTACAGCAACAAATACACATCTAGAGATGGTGAGAAAGTGAGATGAATTCTACTCTTCACTTCTAGGAGGGCTGCTCATCTAAGGGGAATTTAATACACATAACCTAATGACCATTGCCATGCAGCCTCTCCCCTGCCCACCCCCTCGTGTGTGCCAGGTGCAGACAGTCAGCGTAGGCCCACTGCCACCTCTGTCCAGGCCCTCAGCATCCCACCTCTGGTGGCACCTGCTGAGGCAGGTAGACCACCACTTTGGAGTCAGACAGACCTACTTGATATCCAGCATCTCTAGCTCTCAGATTCCAGACCAGGTACCCAGCTCCTCCAGCCTGCACTCCTCATTGAGCTGAGCTGACAGGCACACGTCTCCTGAGGTCCTCACGACCCGCCATGAGGTGGGTTGCTTCCCCCATCCTGCCCTGCCCTGTGCTTAATTCCCCTCTGACTCTAGGCTCTGAGATACTGTGGCCCCCAATGGTTGCAAAACAACAGCTCAGGTAAATCTCCTTGCCCCCATCCCCCATCACCAACCCCGATTCCTTGATTCCTGGAAGCAGGGAAATAATTAGCTTCTCTTCCAGGCTTTTGATTGCAAAATAAGAATAAATAGCAAATATGTGAAATCAACAGAGGAGCTGCCAACTTTTGACTCTAATGAGAATGAAGAATGGCTGGCACTCCATCATCCACAGAATTTGTTTTGGCAATTTTTGTTCTCTATTTTTATTGGCATTTTCAGTTCAACTAAGTTCAACAGTTCAATTAAGGCAAGGGTCAGATTAAACCACAATTATGCAAGTGTGGTGCTTTGCCACGTCCCTGGGGGCACGACCCTCCATGAGGTCTGATGAAGCAGATTTAAAATATTCATCTTTTACAATAGCCTAGAACTGCCTCTAACACACCTGCTCACCTCACTCTCCACAGTGACTCTTCCTGAATCCCCTGAATCATCGTCCTCAAACCTCCCACTGAACCCCCAGCTGATGACCTGCCCTCCTACGAGAGAGGCAACAAGCCCTCACCCTGGACCCAACGTGCCCGCTTTGAGTGGCCAAAATGCAGATCTGCGCATGTGGCTCTCTTTAATGACTTCCCAGCTCTCGGGGCAGAGTCCAAACCACCTGGCGCAGCTCTCAACAGTACCAGGCCACTCTCTGTTCTTTCATCCTCAGTTCCCGCCACACCCCACCTTGAACTCTACTGTCAATTCCTTGAACAGGAGATGCACTGAACACGCTGCCCTTTCTGCTTAGGAACTCACTCTCACACTCCTTCTCCCTCTCCTCCTCTCCACCCTCCCTTCCCTTGCTTATCTATATCCATTCCTCCTTTAGATCCCAGCCTGGTTATGAACTTCCTTCTGGAAGCTTCCCTGACCTCCCTACCATCCCACCTTAAGTCTGGTTTGAGTTCTCCTTTGAAGCTCTAACAGTGCCCTGTGCGCCCCCAGCAGAGGGCACCATGTTGTCCCACATCCTGGATGTCCTCGTACATGCCTCATGGACACCCCCAGAGAAACTGGACATAAGTGCTTTGAGAGCACAGACCCTGCCTGTTTGTCGTTCTATCCATATCACCTAGTACACTGACCAGCATGGAGTAAATATTCACAAATGGAAGAATTAGACTGAATTCACAGAGGTTCAGATTTTTGCATTTTTTTAGCCAATCACACCATCATAAGTGAAATGATAAATATGCACATTAGTGCATATTTTAGGTACACACAGAAAATTATCAGTCAAATGAAAGTATGGAGAAAATTATTTTACTCTTACTTTCCCTAAAATCCCAACTGCATTAACAAGCGCCTTCTTTTAACTACCCTTTAGTCTGTTCTGCTACATGACACATGCTCCATGGATTTCCACTGCTGTAAACAAATCTTATGTCTTTGGATTCTAAAAGGAGTCAAAATTGTATCCTTGTACATGTGTCAGTTCAAAATGACAAAGATTGAAAATATAAAAATAAATCCTCAGTTAGTATACAAATGTTCATGGTAACATTACTTATAACAGCCTAGAAGTAGAAACAAACCAAATTCCCATCAACTAAGAAATAAAATGTGGTATAGCCACACAATGGAATATTATTCAGCCATAAAAAGGAATGAAGTACTGATTCATGCTACAACATGGATGAACCTTGAAAACATTACGCTAAGTGAGAGAACCCAAGCACAAAGGACCACATTTTGTATGATTCCATTTATACGAACTGTCAAGAACAGGCAAATCTATCCAGAGAGAAAGTGGATTAGTGGTTGCCTAGGAGTGAGGGTGGGACAGACTGGGGAGTGATCGCTAAGGAGTTCAGGGCTTCTTTTGGGGTGATGAAAATGTTCTAAAATTGGTTGCAATGATGGTTGCATAAGTCTATGAATATACTAAAAGCCACTGGATTGCATACTTTAAATGGGTGAATTGTTTGGTATATGAATTACATCACAATAAGGCTGTCATTAAAACCTAATAAAATAAATCCTCATAACCAAAATTACAGTAACATAAAAGCCCCTGGGGGTGTCCCTCTGTCTGATCGAGGCCCCCCTCAGATAATGTGTGTTGGCTGGTGGGTCACCCTCTTCATAAATGAATAGTCACTGCCAAGGGCAAGGGTCTTCTATAGGCTATGGGGGCAGCCAGCTCCAGCAGGACCATCATCGTCAATCATTGACAAGGTGCTTGTGGATGGCAGTCACTGCAGTTTTGGAAAGGCATATGCTATATTAATTTTATATATGCCAAAAGATTTTATATGCAAAAAGATGAACCTACATAACATCATCCTGGGAATGAAGCGGGCTGAAGAACATCAGGAGGAACAGGAGGCTGCCTGCCTCTCCCTTCAGTCAGCAGTGCCGCGCCTGCACTTGAGCATCCACGCGCCCTCTGCTCACCGAACATGTTGTACAGGGTAATTGCTAAGTGGCAGGCTCTGAGAGGGGGCAAGCGACAAGACCCAAAGCCCCCACCCGCAGGTCCCTCATTGCCAAGACATAGGAAACAACAAAAATTGACTCCCTCCAACTCCAAAAGTAAAAACATCGATTAGGATTCATTTTGGAATCAAATTAAATTACTTTCCATGAAACTAAAGGAATACAGTAAAAAAAGCAAGATCTTGGCACCATGCCCCACAGATACCAAAGAAAATAAAATAAAATAAAGGACATAATCTTCTCTCCTCTTTATTGCCTGGGAACAGCTGTGTGTTCCTCTCACTAGCCCACCTGATGACATTCCATGAGGACATGGGGGAGATGGCAATCCCCCCAAGATTTGCCACATCCTAAGCGTTCAAAGGATGAAGACACAAGCTTTCCTTGACTGAAGGCAAATAAATCAGAAGATCTCAAATGTAATAAAAATCCCAGAATACTAACCAAAGGAAAATGTTCTGGCTTTTGGAAGGTGTAGTGGTGTGTGTCTGTTTGCCTGTTTGCTTTGAGGAAAGGGAGCTCTAGCTGCGACCATCTCCTTTGTCACCACCTCCTATCCCAGCACCAGGAGAACCGACCGGTGTTCAAAAGGTGCCTTTGATGTGAAACCAGCAGGCTGATGTCCACAGTGCTTTGCACCCACATTCTTGATGAGCAGGAAAGGACCTGTCTGCCTCTTCAGCCTCCTTCTGTGCCTTTGCCTCCTCCACTCACCCCTTCATGGGAAAAATCCCCTAAACTCACAGGGAACCGGGGCCTGGAGGTGACGGCTTGATAATTTTCTTAATGTAAAATATGATCACTGGGTTCTAACTCTCTATTTCTTTCATTTAATGAAAAATTTCATCCTTTTTAAATCTTAAAATCATTTAGATAAATAGACCTATTCCTAATTTTAAATATTTTTAAAGACTAATTATTTGCAGATTGATTCTGCTCTATTTCCTAGAATCTGTAGCCTCTAATTCTATCCAAGGAAAGACTTATCTAGTCTTCAGGTGTCTGGGTGACAAGATGGCTGGTCCCACCACTCTTACCTTAGATATGTCATTATGTTAACTACCACACTTGCATAACACCTTTGACTTTCTAACAAACATTGCAACAGGTTGTTAAAGGCAACATTTTCTGTTGTCTCTGAGTTTCAGGAGCCACATGGAAGGCTGAGTATAATACAGTAATTCCAGGTACCCCCACATCCCATCTATGTTTGGCAGAGGAGGGTTTGCTGAGAGAGAAGCTAGAATGGTGGCATCCTTTTCCCATCTCTCCCCATAGAGAGGAAGATGCACTTCTCAAGCCCAGCAAGGCTCAGACCCCTGATCAACTGTTTGAGTGTACATCCCTATTCCAGACCCAAAGCACTGTATCTAGTTCATTTTGACATTTTTAGTATTTAGAAGTCATTGACACATACCAGGAACTCAATAAATATTTACTGAATTGAAATTTAATTGGATAATAAGGTTAATTTTCATTCCATACTATATCCATTCTTAGAAGAGATAAATAACCCAGAAGTATGCAGCTATTTAAAACATAACTACTTACACTAGAAACTAATATAATACAGTATGTCAATTATACCTCAATTGAAAAAGAAAGAAAACAAACATCTCATTAAAAATGGGCTATTTCAACAGATACTTCACCAAAGAAGATATACAGATCACAAACAACCATATGAAAAAATAGCCATCATTAGTCATTAGGAAAATGCCAAATAAACCACAATAATATACCATTACACACCTGTTAGCATGACTGAGAATCCTGCCTCCTGGGAAACTCCTCAGTCCCAGG